TGAATTGGCCTTTGACGATTTCGCCTACTCTGCTTAGGTACTTTTATTATTGTTAAATGTATATTTGACTGACTTTTTCAGCATAATTTGCACTAAGTCTGAGGAAGGCAATTCTTGAAACGCTTAAATTGTAATCTGCCTGGTGAATTTCTATTAAAGCTCCATGTAACTACTTGTATTGGTTGTTTCTCACTTATAGGATTGAACAGTAAAATTCTACAATTTTGTTTCTAAAACATAACCTTTATATTGTATTATATTATACATGTTAAACAACTGAAAAACGTAAAAACAAAAATACCGAACTCCAAAAACCTTTATATGAACAGGGTATTTCGAAAAAAATGCTTTACCGACTGATGACGGTTTTTTCATAGTAAAGCTATAAATTACCTTCAAGTTGTTGATATTAAGCGATACAGGTGTTCGGTTTTACATGCTAGTGTTAAAACAAAGAGGTCAATTTGTGTCCTAAGCCTAAGTTTTGAGTACTGCTGGTTGTACTTAACATTTAAGTCTATCGTTTGAAGGATGTGTCATGTTATGATAAGCTTCGTAAATCGTATATTGTTTAGTTTTAGTGTGTAAGACTAGCTTTGTGTAAAGAAGAAGAAACTTTTTCTGGTACAAGTTAAAAAAATTTCCAGCAATCATTGTGTCAGGGTCAAGCAAAGAGCTTTTAATTACTTAGGGTTTCCTCCCCCGAAGTGTTATCGAATACATCGTTTCTTGGTTCCATATGTTTCGTTATATTTCGACAGCAGATTTATGTTATGTTTTATTTTATATCGCTACAAACCAGTAAAAGTCTGAAATGGCCTATATCTGTACTCGACTGTACTGATTTTTACTCGACCAGTCTGAATTGGTTTGAAATTTACTTGATATTACTCGACTGTAGTCTGAACCATACTTAACAGTCTGAACTGGTACTCGACCTTTACTCGACCAGTACTTAACCATTTTATACGAGTCTGAACCATAATCGACATAGTCTTAACCATTCTCGACCAAGTCTGAACCATGCTCGACCTAGTCTGAACCATACTCAACCAAGTCTTAACCTAGACCTTTTTTTTGAATCTATCTATTGTATTTCATCAATTTAGGAACTGTTATACATATATATATATATATATATATATACACAATGTATATCACATTTGAAATTAAAATAAAACAAGGTAATCAAATTTCTGGTTGGATTAAAAAAATATCGTGTAATAAACTAAGTTTTCGTTAAATGAATTTTTATATACATGATATCATGTTCACATTGCTCTATGTACATCAAAAATACTAGAACTTTCAACCATTATTCAAATATCTTAAATGTTATTAAGATTTATATTTATCAAAATATATATAAAATAGTAATAAATGTTAAAATTCACACCTTTCTTTTGTAAAACCAAGAATTTAATATGATAATAATAATAATATTTTCATAGCAATCCTTGATAACCTTTTAAAAAAGGAAATACATTCCAAAGTTGCAGTAGAAATTTATTTTAATTAAATTTATATACGTTTTGTCAAAATTAAAGACATGGCATACAAGAAGCACTTTAATAAAGTTTAATTACCTTAGTACAGGGTTGTTTTACAGGTAAAAAGAAAACCCTATTTTTCTTAAACTCATGTATTACTTATCTAGTGAATTCAAAAGGCCTTGTTATTTAAGTTTTACAGGATGTTGTAATTATCTATGGATGTTATTTAAAATTTATTACTCTCTGACCAGGTGTGATCTTTTTTAATCAGTGTGCCCCAAGCAGGATGTATTACTTTATAGTTTACCCCTAATCATTTCTTTAATTTTTTATCCATTTTTAAAATATATATATATCCCAAATTATAAATAGGAATAGATTTATTTCTGATGTAAGGTTAAACAATGTTAGTGATTTTGTTGGCTGTCATTACCTCATTATTCATTATTGTATGTAACCATGCAACCTAAGTAGTTTTTATTTAGGAATTTAGGAAAATCAAGTTTTGTTTAAAAAAAAAACACACATGCCAAAGAACCTTGATAAGGTTTTATTACCCTCAGTATAGGTGTGGTTTTCAGGTAAAAGAAAGTCTTTTTATTAAACAAGACTCAGACTTTAAAATTAGATAATTTAACTATCTCGAATTGATAAATCTAAGAGAATCATGTAAGGATGTAAAAATCTGGTTTTATATATATCTTTATTTTATTGTGGCTGTTGTCATGTCAGTTAAAAAGGTTATTTTAACAATCAAAACTAGAAAAAGTAGAGGTTATTTGGTCAAGTATGGTTCAGACTGGTCAAGTATTGTTCAGACATTTGGTCGAGTACGGTTCAGACTGAAGAAATAGGTCGAGAGCTGGTCAAGTATTAATCGAGTACAGGTCGAGCAAAGGTTAAGACTGTTTCAGACTGGTCGAGTAATAGTTGAGATAGTTTTCAATAGCAAAGATAAGGGTCAAGTACAAATCAGTACAGTGGAGTATTGTTAAGACTGGGTCGAGTGATAGTAAGTAAAATTCAGACCAATTCAGACTGGTCGAGTAAACATCAGTACAGTCGAGTACAGATATAGGCCATTTCAGACTTTTACTGGTTTGTAGTGTATGTATATCGAATAAAACACGTGTTAGTCAGTCAAAGCAGAATAGATAAGATACCTTTACTTTTTTGTTGTAAAACTAATGCAGATGTTAAAATCTATCATATAAATTGATGGACTGCGCAAGGCATACGCTATTCCCAATATGAATAGTAAGGAGTAAATCTGCATTTAACTAGCAACTCGTACTCGTGTAACACCACGCAAAAAGGTATTGCATTCGAAAAAAGTGAAAATACCCTTGTAAATTTATACAATAGCAGATGAAATATGTATGGCTCTTTTTTTTATATGTAAAAACAAATACCTGAACATCTACCATCAGAGTTCAACGATTGTCCTTTTTGACACTGACACTGATAGGAACCAGGTGTATTGACACATATGTCATCACAACCACCATTAATAAACAAGCATTCATTGACATCTAAAAAACAAACCTTGCATTGAAATTTTATTCATTTTAAACTTTTAAAAAATGAGAATTTGTGATGTGTATGTTTCATAAGTATTGATTAGTGTATTATCAAGCAAAACTACCCATAGCTATAATTGTGGGTTTCTTAACACTGTCATTATGTTAGAGTTATATATCTCATACATACATTTTTTATAGTTGAGTAATACCGTTATTATAAAGAAGTTGTTTTTTTTCAAATTACATGCAATGCAATCAATTTTGAACAAAGTTTAGGATTGCGCTGACTACTCGGAATTAAAAGGAACAGAAGATAAATGAAGGAGAACCAAAACTCATAAATCGAAAAGAGATCGAGAAAATCATGATAATCATGATAACGAGAACTCGTCGATACTGAGATTTAAAAATAAGAAAATATAATTTTGATAAATACAGAGATTTAATAAGAGTATAGATTACATATACCGTGTCTGTCTAAGTATTTCAAAACGAAAAGGCAACAATCTTTTAAAGCAACTTTTACATAAAGTATGATTCAATTATTCCGATCAATATCAAATAGGAGAGGTATACGATCTCAGGCTACCTCTGTTGAAAATATTGTACAGAAAACGTATACTGTATCTTTCAAGTGAGCTTAAATTCTGCCCCAAATAACTTTGTAAAAAATATAGATTGGTCTGCTACCATTTACGATAGTAGAGAGGAATACAAAACTCAAAGCAAACAAATTGTATAAGTAAAACATGAAACACGTACCATTTTCACAGTGTTGTCCATCAAACCCGGGAGCACATTTACAACTGTAAGATCCAATGTTATCTATACAACTGCCAACATTGAGACAGGTAACACCAGCACAATTGTCAGTATCTACAATGAATCATACAGTTATTGCTTCTGTTATTGTAATTGTGTAACATATAATACTGTCTATTTTTTAAAATGTTCACAACAAGACCATCCATAAAATATCGACATTATTTGATAACGACCAAGTAAATAATTTTTTTTTCAAACGATGCTCGTGCATAGTTATTGCATCTAAATCGACAAGCCAATATGAAATTTGGGGAAATACTTGTTTTCTTACTTGTCATGTGCATACATTAACCTATTTGTCTGACGTTAATCTCTTGATTTAACTGTAGAACCAACTGACCCTCTGTGTTTACTTCGTTAACTTCAGTTCAACTTTTAACTTACGATCTTTTCACCTCTCAAAAACTAAATTCCATTGAGGGTTCGAACTTGCTTGCATTTTCTTCAATAGTCACCATAGATTTAGGTCTGTGCATGATATCGCTTGACCATAAAGGCTGATATACATTAAATGATAACTTATATTATTATAGAGATAGAACCAGTTATTCGGACCCTGAAAGAACATACAAGAAAAAAGGAAGAATATGCAGAAAAGTAGCACATATTTTAAACAAAATAAATCCTGTACATAGCTGTAGCTTTGTAAATTGATAAAATATTTGGGTAATTTTAATACTTTTAATAATAGTAATTGGGAAGGGAAAAAACCGTGCTGAAAGAAAAGGTAAACAAAGGTAGAAGTTAGATAGTTAATTGATTCTGAAAGAAAAAAGTTTTATACATAAAATTATTTAACATGTTTCACAATTATTATGACAAAGTTTAATTAACAAATATAAACGCATTGGAAAAAACAATCATTGCTCTATTGCATGTCTATCGTCTCACTTATTTTTCACGTGCTCCGTGATTATTATTTACTAAGGTTCGGTAAACTTCGGTAATAAAACTCGAAAATTAAAGAGAAGGCAAGCTTTTACTGAATGAGATATTAGTTTGTCGATTACATGTTAGGGATTCGTAATAAATGTAAAAATAAATGTGCATAGAGGACTTTGTAAAGTATATATACATGCATTGGCTTAATAATTTTCTTAGCAGTATAATTTAAGGAAACTCCTTTCATATTACTTTAGAGGAACAATATCTTTTTCAGCACTGAAAAAATGCATAGCCAATACAAAGCATAAACGTAAAATCACCTGAGCAAGATAGTCTATCCAATGCGAGTTGGTATCCAGATCTGTAGCTGCATCGATATGAGCCAACAGTGTTCGAACAGAAATGGGCGCATTTTGAATTCGTTGTACATTCATCAATATCTAAAAATTATAAAAAAGAACTTGAAAACAGACTATAATTTGATATACATTATATTACATTTATGAAATATACAGAGACAGGTGTTTTAACAACCTGGTAACACCCCATGATCACTTCAAGCACCGTTCATAATTCTATAAATGATTACTGAATGTTGAATACTAAAGTTCGACATGAAAGTTCTTTTAATTTTTGCTTTCTGATTTGTTCTTTTCTCTCTCAAAAATCATCCACAAAATGTAAAAATAAAAATATTTTTTATAGATTAAATTAAGATAAGAGATGTGGAGATCTTATATATGTATTTACCGTCGCAACGTTTCCTGTCAGAACCTAACTGAAATCCATTATTACAAGCGCAGTGGTAGGACTGGTATTCATTCACACATGTTTGGCCACAACCACCATTATGTAGTAAACATTCGTTTATATCTGAAGAATAAAATAATCAGAACATCTTCAAAGGTAGAAAATAAAAAAAGTATAAGAGAAGTAACAGAAAGACTAAAAGAAAAACAACATCAAACGACATCAAGATGTCAATACTCGGACAACATACTTACGGTAAGTCAAATGTTAAATCGCCCCATATTATGCAAAGGTGAATCATTTGGCTGATGTCATTATATACCCGTCACCTTCGGATATGTACAGCACATCCTCTAAAGGGCAAGAAGTGAGTAGCTGAAGAGTTGTGTTTGCTCGTGCAATTTCAGTGAACGAAATTCTTATCAAATTGTTTTTTTTTTCCGCATCTTCTGGCTTAATTGATTTGGTTCCCCTTTTCCCGACAACAGTACAACATTTGTCATCAATATTTTAATCATCTGTTTACAATATAGCTGTTGAGGTTAATACGAATGAATTATGTGTCTTTACATTATTAACGTACGTGAAGTTGGTTCATAATATAAAAGTAACCAGTTCTCGATAATTTTATATTAAAAACATTTTTTTATCATAAATTTTAATTTAGGCATGCATTGAATATGATAACTGCAATGGAAACAACATTTATTAATTGTCTGTGAAGTAGGAAGTAAAGATTGACATATCTTATGATTAAAGGAAAAATGAATGTCTGTTACATGTTCTTGAAGTTTACCTAAATTGACTTATCTGAACGAAACACATAAATTTCTTAAATAAAGCACGAATAAAACAAAAACCAAGAACAAACAATGGATCACTTATTCATTAAGTGACATCAGCTAAATAAAATTTATAAGAGAAATGAGCTTAGAGATAAAATAATTTCATTGAGAATATTATTGAAGTAGATTAACATGTACCCATCAAAAAACCAATAAAAGTATCATTCTGTTGTGCCAAATATATATATATATATATATACATATATCCCTCTACCAGGAAATTTGTTTTGAATACCGTTTCGATTCCTAACATCACTGAAGAGACATTAATTGTCTAAATCCGAATATGGTGTACAATTTTTTGCACCTCATGTTTGCGGTAAACAATCTTTTCCGCAAGTTTATTGTTTTCTATTTGGTATAAAATTTATAATTAAGATCCATTTTGTTACATCTGGTGATCCGTATATTTGGCAATCGCCATGGCCGTCAGCAGGATTTAAGAACATCCGTTGTTTGACCTACTAGTCAAATGCGTTTTGTTAAAATATACTTTTCACTTTTTTGGTCTTTTGGAAAATGTTGTTTGTGCTGTATTTAGACCCCTCTACCAAAAAATTTGTTTTGCATACACACGTATAAAAATTGCGGTTTTTATTCAACGCAATCATAGGTTTGAACGTTGCTTTCAATTTAGACTTATATATACCAAGAAATTTGTTTTGCATGCACACGTATAAAAATTGCTGTTTTTATCCAACGCAATCATAGGTTTGAACATTGTTTTCAATTTAGACTTGTTTATATTTTTTCTTTTGGGCTTGTATTATATTTGCCTTCGGGTTTATATGATCCGTTCATCTTATTTCGACTCTTCAAAATTCAAGAGTCTATCCTAAACTGAGGTAAATTATAATGGCCTTCCAAATACCGTTTCGATTCCTAACATTACTGAAGAGACATTAATTGTCGAAATCCGGATATGGTGTACAAATTTTTGCACCTCATATTTGCGCTATACCATCTTTTCCGCAAGTTTATTGTTTTCTGTTTGGTATTAAATTAATAATTATTAAGATCCATTTTGTTACATCTTGTGATACGTTTATTTGGCAATCGCCAATGGCAGTCAGCAGGGTTTAAGAACATCAGTTGTTCGACCTGTTAGTCAAATGCGTTTTGTTAAAATATACTTTTTCACTTTTTTGGTCTTTTGGAAAATGTTGTTTGTGCTGTATTTAGACCCCTCTACCAAAAAATTAGTTTTGCATGCACACGTATAAAAATTGCGGTTTTTATCCAACGCAATCATAGGTTTGAACGTTGTTTTCAATTTAGACTTGTATATATATATATATATATATATATAAACGTCTAAAAAGTGTTCACAACAACACCAATAACAAAAAAAAGGAACTATAAATGTAATTATTTATAAATATTTCGGATAACAGATATCCTTCATCAGTAAATATGATTGTGATGTTGAATGAATCATATATCAGTCTACTTAGATTAAACTATAACAATCTTGAAATTTATACAATAAAAAAGTCAAACCGAACATCAGGTAAGACGCTTGCACAATTCTAAATATGTGTTAAACACGACATAGGTTATATGACTAATTACAACAGAGAGTTCAAATATATGCTTTAAATAAAAATAATAATGTGCGATATGAACTAGCACAATTCTTAAGCTTTAACGGTGACGACAGCTATGATGTTACAAGAACGATTGCGTCAATAAGAATTCCAAATAAGCAGCACTGAACGATCTAAATTAGTTAATATTTCAAATTTGACAACGGTAGAGTAGTTACAACAGATTCTGCGTATTTAACATCGCAAACAAACGGCCGTTAAAATATAATAATAAATTTTGACTAAAGTTAACTAGTTGAACGTGGCTTGGTACTTTTACATCCCTCAAAAAATTAAGCAATTTAAATTGGTATATTCAACAGATTTATTTTAGAGATGAGTATAAGGTAAAGAAAAAGAAACAGAGACTGTAATAATAAGATTTTGGATAAGAAAATTAACATTTTGGCACCAAATGGGATAAATGAAAAGATGTAGTTCGACTCCATGCAGTGCTTCACATTTGGGTTATATTACTTATTATTATGTTTATATGATCCGTTCATCCTATTTTGACTCCTCAAAATTCAAGAGTCTATCCTAAATTGAGGTAAATTGTATGGATTCCAAATACCGTTTCGATTCCTAACATCACTGAAGAGACATTAATTGTCGAAATCTGGATATGGTGTACAAAAACCTTTGCACCTTTTGTTTGCGGTATACCATCTTTTCCGCAAGTTTATTGTTTTCTGTTTAGTATTAAATTTATAATTAAGATCCATTTATTACATCGGTGATCCGTTTATTTGGCAATCGCCAATGGCCGTCAGCAGGGTTTAAAAACATCAGTTGTTCGACCTGTTAGTCAAATGCGTTTTGTTAAAATATACCTTTTCACTTTTTTTGGTCTTTTGGAAAATGTTGTTTGTGCTGTATTTAGACCCCTCTAACAAGAAATTTGTTTTGCATGCACACGTATAAAAATTGCGGTTTTTATCCAACGCAATCATAGGTTTGAACGTTGTTTTCAATTTAGACTTGTTTATATATATAGATATATATATTAATCACCAAACAATACCTGAACATGTTCTGCCATCACTGCCAATAACAAAACCTTGTTTACATTGACATTCAAAAGAACCGCCTTTATTGATGCATATGTGGCTACAACCACCATTTTTATCTAAACATTCATCAACATCTGGAAATTAGGAAAATAATCAGTTATCAGAATTATGAGAGTAAACCTGTACGTTGTACAGAAGTACAGAAGTGCATTATCTGTACGTAGATGTAATATAAATATGGACATATTGAACATAATGAAAACGTCCAATTCTGTTAAAACATAGAAAATTGACTAACTAATTTGTACATTAATAAAAACATAGAAAATTTACTAACTAATTTGTACATTAATAAGCTAGAACAACTGCTTCATTAATCGCATTGCCATCTTGTAAGGTATGAAATTACTTAAAATGCATGCTATGCTGCAACATGTTAGATAAGTAGGAGAACTACATTAAGGGCATGCATCTCTGCTTATTTTCTGACATCATAATTTTCTAGACTTTACATTGAAAAACCCCTTCGTAGGATTACTAAACGGAAAGTGTTTTTTTTCTTCAAATTATTGCGATGAGATTCTTACTCCTAAAATCTTTACATTGCTTTGATTATAATGACTGCACTGATCTTTTTAACCCGCTGGAGCCAGAACTTGAGAAGTTCATCTGAAATACCCGACTATTCTTTTTTTTTTTTACCTCAAAAACTAATTAACCCTTTCAAATAGTTTAGTCATTGGACCAACTATTATATTCATCCGTCATCAATGTTTTTTAATATTATAGATACAAAGGTTACTTGTGCATCGTTTATCTCTTACAATTACATGTTTTCACAATGTCAATATTTTTTTTATTTTCCATAGATGAGGACGCTTTCCACAAACTACTTTGTTTATACTACAATAGGCAATAATGCTATTTTCCATTAAAATCATCTTTAATATATTTGAACATTTCACGTTTGAAATATTTTGATAACCATCCCCTAACAGAGGTTACGTCAATCATATTTGAGAGCCAAAGTCAGATGCATATGACATAACAATTTGTTTACCATAAATAAACAAAACAGATGTCAAGTAGACAGTAACAGAAAACAATTAAGATAGTATTCATGACCCTACCTCTTGTCCCATTTTCATAACAGATAATTGCAGAGATTGTGAAGAATAACTTATAATCAACATTGTTCAGACATACTTTTGAGACGGGTATTGTTTAGAGCTTATCAAAATGTTTAGGCTCCTATCCTTTTTTGACGACTGTATATGACCCTTTCAAATTCAATCTTTTCATTGTTTTATTGTTAGGGGGCTGTTTCATTGACTTATTCTCAAAACCTATTGTTTTTCAATTAATAGAAATTATGGAACAACAAGTTAATAATAGGAATGCTGGTACTGGTGTCCGCATAAACACTGGGAAGTATACGTGTACTTTTCTAAATAACAAAAAGGTCAAGTTGTGCATAATCTTAACCATAGGAACATGGTCAGACAACGTGCAAAATTATTCAGTATTGAA